CAAGGACATTTAAATAAAGGGGACTTATTTATTTACATTTCTAGATGAAGCCTGGTCTATTCACAGTCTAATTGTATCATTGTTGTCAGCTGTATAATTATACTGGAAATGTACTTAATATTTTTATCGCAATTTTCATCACAATTGTGAAAATTATTATTATAGGATAGTATTATTAAGTTATGCATACAATATTGTTAAATTCTGTACATATTAAACTATTTTTCATTTTTCATATTTGCCATGTTTGAAGACTTGGCAACTACGCAATAATTTGTAGCGTGTTCCTCGTTCGTTCTGCCGTGGTTGGCAGAATATGGCGTCTCTTGTTAGAAAATAGTTGTGATTTTAGTAAGTGAAACGTGATTAGTGTTTATACATGTATTTTGGATAAACTTTTAAGGTGTGAATATGGTTAGACAGTGCAGAATTTGTAAGAAATTGGATTATAAACATCCACATCAGCTATCCTTCCACAGGTAAGCGTGCTTGAAGGTGACTTTGGAATGTATATGCAACTGTGGCCATTGTCGTGCGTGTGGGTAACTTTTATTTGAATAACGGTAAAATTTTATAAAACTGACTTGGTATTTGGTTACAGTTATTGGGATTCCAAGAAGTTATAAAAATATTATATATATTTATTATGAAAATACTGAGTAGCTGTTGAAATATATAGGACTTAGGACTATAAAATATTTTATTTTGACCCATCCAAAATGTACGTCATTGGAGATGTAATCGCACGCATCAGTTGGATGAAAATAAAGCCCTCTGCTTTCCCCTTGTCTAGCTTCACCCAACATATGAGATAGACTGTGACATGCATAGTCCCCTTTACTTAAATGTCCTTGGTAAATACGAATATTTAAAGTACATTTTTTACCGGTTATTTTTTACCGCTACGTTAAAAAACCTGTACGAATTCCTCAACAGTTATCGCACGACAATGCATGCTGTGACCAAAATCGTCGACAATTTAGATTTGCGCTACTAAAAATCTACTGAAAACAAGGACTCACCTATTGTAGTTTCCGTACTGGAACTGCTTATCCTTCTCCTTGAACTGCGGCAACGGCTGCTCCTCCGCCGGTGCCTTCGGCCTCGGTTTCGTCCTCTTGTTCACGGACGTGCTCCTCTTCAGCCACGCGCCGGGCTGCGGCACCACCGGGCTCACGATCTTATCCATGGAGTTCTTGAACTTCTTGGCAGCGTGCCCGTAGTCGTCCGATTTCCTCTTGTTCTTCTCCTTCTTCGGGCACAGCTCGATGCTGAGATCCCTGGGTTTGGCGGCGGCGGTGGTGGCCGCCGTACAGTCGGGCACCTCGGGTATCTTCGCCGAGTCCGTCGAGGTCTCGGGAGTCTTCGCAACGGAGTTGCCGCTGGTGTCGGCGTCCATGGCCGAGGTGGTTTCCATCGTACCTGCACGGATGAACGTGAGATACAGGGTGTTTACAGGTTGATTGGGATAACTTAGGATTTGAATTGGGCTTGTCAATATAAGGAAACGCGTTTTCTAATGTAACTGGCGACTGAAGAAGTAAAATGATGACCTTGTTTCTCGATTTCAATGGTATTAGGTTAATTTAAACAAATTCAAAAAATTTTGTTAAAAAAAATCTTATCAGATGAAGTCAAATACTGCTTTTCTAGTACCAGAAATATGCAAAATATATCTAACTCCACAGGCAGAGGCGGCCTTAACCATTGCGAGGCCCCGGGCGGCAGATCTGTACGAGACCCTTGTTCTTTGTGAAATGTACGTAAATCGAATGTAGATATTCGATCCGATGATTTAAGAGAAATGCAAAAGTTATAAATTTTGAGTTTTCAAATATTATATTAAGAATAATTGTTCCATATGCATTTACAGGCACAACGATCGTTCTTAATGAACTATCGATATAATTCAATAGTGTCAGCAACAGTATACAGAATAATCTAGTTTAATAATTTTTGGAGCCCTCTAAAATGATGAGCGATAAAGTAAGTCATAGAAATCCGTGTGATAGAGAAGGATGTCTATAATGAAGGCGTCTCATAGTCACCGCCCGTTTCGCCCTTCCACAAATAAGATCCACTTCCACTTGTAATTCAGCGACCGGTGGTCATCTTTGTTTTCGTCGTTTGGCTTTTCTTTAATAGATGTCACTACTTATACAATTTCGACTTCGGTATTCCGATATGTTAATACCATCCGTTAACAGAGGGCAGCACAACGCGTAACAAAGAA